TCCTCTAAGCTGGAAAGTGGTAAAAGAAACCCCACTCGTCTCCGCTACGCCCATAGTACGGAGAATACAATGACACTCCTCCAAAAAATCCTGAGCATCATTTGTAGCCAATCCACTGAAGGTAGGTGGGTGGTACTTCTTGTACCTCTCAAGTCTGAGCTGCTCCGCCTCAGAAGCGGCTGTCCTAGTCTCATGATAAACCGGAGCTATCGGCGGCATATGAATGAACTCTGGGGCCTGATCAACCTGGACCCTCTGCTTAGGAGTGCGGGCTGAGGAAGCCTGTGCCCCTTCCCCGGCCTGAGATGCGGCGGGAGCTAATGGAATCAATCCAGCCTGAGCTAAGTTGTTGAACATGCTCATGAACTAGGCTAGAGTCTCCTGGAGGGCTGGTGCCTGCCCTCCAGCTGGAGCTGTTGGGGGCTACTCTGTCGCAGCTCGTGCGGGTGCTCTGGCTGCACCGCGTGGTCGTCCTCTACCCCGGCCCCGGCCTCTAGCGGCTCTAGCAGGGGGCGTGGGTGCCTGGTCATCAGATCGTACGGTATGGTTCCTCACCATCTGTGAGAAAGAATAGATTACAGAAGTTTAGAATTTTTTATGCTAACAAATTTCGCACGAAAAGGAATCAAAGAAGCATAATTTTTCATAACAGTTCCATAGCCTCCCGAAGATAAGTACAGATGTCTCCGTACCGATCCATGAGACTCTAATAAATCGGCTTGCGACTCACGACACCTATGAACCTAGAGCTCTGATAGCAACTTGTCACGACCCAAACTTTCCCTCCGTGAATTGTCGTGACGGCACCTATTCTCTATGAGTAGGTAAGTCAACACTTGCGAAAACGAAATGAAAAATATGAATATTAACAACTAACAGTAACAAATATTTTAATAAGCAATTGAGATGCCGCTCGGCATATACCATAATCAACTCTCGAAATATACATGACACTCCCAAGACCCGGAACACCGTAAGTCACAAGCTTCTACGAAGTTCTAACTGTTCTATACATCAGTTTCTATAGAAATAAGAGAAGAATCAACATAGAGGGATAGATGGGGAGTCCGAGGATCTGCGGGCGCGGACAGATGTACCTTGAAGTTCTCCGAAACAGCAGCGACTGCAACTAAGGATGAGGCTGGTAAAAGGAACCTGGATCCGCACACGAAATATATGTGCAGGAAAGGGCGTGAGTACACCACAGTGGTACCCAGTAAGTGCCAAACCTAACCTCGGCCGAGTAGTGACGAGGTCAGGACAAGGACCTACTGGTATGTAATAAATAAGCAGGAGAGTATAAGAATATAATAAGAGGCTAGAATTTAAACAAGGAGAACATAGCAAAGTAACAACGCAGAACACAGGGATAAACAAAAGGGGATCTCCCGAGATACCGTCTCGTAGTCCCAAAATAAAAGTGCAAGGAGATCTCCCGAGGTACCGCCCCGTAGTCTCAAAAGTAAATATGCAGGGAGAACTCCCGAGGAACCGCCTCGTAGTCTCAAACGTAAATGTGCAGAGAGATTTCCCAAGGAACCGCCTCGTAGTCTCAAAAGTAAATATGTAGGGGGAGATCTCCCGGAATACCGTTCCATAGTCCCAAAGTAAATACGCAGCTCAAACAAATGAATATAACAGTTACAGCAAGAAACCCTATAATTTAGACTAAGTACAAGTCAAGAAAGAGGCGGTATTTACTAAACATGCTGCAAATAGTTTAAATATGCTATTAGGACACATAGACATGCTACTCTAGGCTAACAGAATAACTACACATGCTAGTATACTCAGATAAGATGAAAACAGGCTATTTCTCGGAAAAAATCAGGTTTTTTTTCCACAAATAGCCCGTGTACGCACTCGTCACCTCGCGTACATGGCGATCACATATCATAACAACACCAAATCCTAAGGGGATTTCCCCCACACAAGGTTAGGCAAGCCACTTACCTCGAACCAAGCTCAATCAATCGGTAACAATGCCTTTTCCACGAATATCTGGCTCTGAATGGCCCAAATCTAGTCAAAATCAATTACATACCATAAATACAACTATAATAAATTAATCTAATTAATAAAATCAAATTTAAAGCAAGAAATTAGAATATCGCCCCAAAAAGTCTCCCCGGGCCCACGTCTCGGAATCGAGTAAAAGTCACAAAATATGAACACTCATTCACTAATAAGTTCACTCTTGCCAAAATTACTCAAATCCGATACCAAAATCTCGATCAAAATTCAAAAATTTGGCCTAAGAACTTTTCTCAAATTTTCCCCAATTTTCCACCACAAATCACTAATTTAATGATGAAATTAAAGACATAATCGTGAGAATTAACCAAAACTATGTAAGAATCACTTACCCCAAACAACAACGTGAAAATCCCTCCAAAATCGCCTAATTCCGAGCTCTCAAGTCCAAATGGTGAAAAATGACATAAACCCTCGATTTTGAGCTTTAAAATCTGCCCAGGTGTTCCCTTCTTTGCGAGCGTGGCCACTATCTCGCGTTCGCGTATAACAAAAATTCCACTAACCAAATTTCCTCCTTTGCGAACGCGAGAGACCTCTCGCGAACGCGTACCTTTCACTTCCTGGTCCTTCGCGAACGTGTAGACCAAATGACTGGGGTCCCTAGCTGCCTCTCTTCCTCTACGCGAACGCGTTTCACTCTTCACGTTCGCGATGCTTTCACTGACCATACCTTCGAGAATGCGGGCTCCTTTGCGCGAACGCGAAGAACAAACTTGAGCTGGCCTCCTAGATGCCCTACGCGTTCACGAACAAACTTGAGCTGGCCTCCCAGATGCCCTACGCGATCGCGAGACCTCTCTCGTGAACGCGATGAAGAAATGTCTGCAACAAAAACACCAGAAATCTGCTATCTTTTCTTAAGTTCAAAATGTCCGTTAACCATCCGAAATCAACCCGAGGCCTCCGGGATCTCAACCAAACATACCAACAAGTCCTAAAATACCATACAAACTTATTCGAGCCCTCAAACCACATCAAACAACGCTTAAATCACGAATCATCCTCCGATTTAAACTTAAAGAACTCGAAACTTTCAAATTCGACAACCGATGCCGAAACCTATCAAACCACGTCCGATTGACCCCAAATTTTGTACACAAGTCATAATCAACCTTACGGACCTACTCCAACTTCCGGAATCGGAATGCGACCCCGATATCAAAAAGTCCACTACCGGTCAAAATCTCCAAAACTTCCGACTTTCGTTATTTCAAGCCTAAATGAGCTACAGACTTCCAAAACACTATCCGGACACGCCCCTAAGTCCAAAATTACCTAACGGAGCCGAGGAACTCCATTCCGGAGTCGTCTTCACACAGTTCCGACTACGGTCCAAATCCTAAGGCTTAAACCTCTATTTAGGGACTAAGTGTCCAAAAACACTCCAAAAAACAAAACGAAATCTCCCGGTAAGTCACAATAGCAGAAAAAGATATGGGAGAAGCAGTTAATAGGAGATCGGGGCTATAACTCTCGAAACAACCGTCCGGGTCGTTACAAGTTTTCTCCTATTTTTTTTTTATTTTCATGGATTCCGTCTCTTTCTAATTTTATCACTTGCTTGATAAAAATCTTCTAGCCTCTGTTGTGTTTGTTTTTACATTCTTTTGAATAATTTCTTGCTAGATCTACATACATGTCAGAAGTTCTATCTAATTTTTATATGCATGTTTGGAAATAAATACTTAATTAGGTGCGTGTTTTTTGTTTCTAATTTTGGTTGTGCGACTGTTTTTGTGTGCAAATTTTATTATTATTATTTATTCTTTTTGGTAAGAGGGGAAATCCGCGGACGCTACGACCTCTGTCACAGCCTCTGCCCTTCGGGTGAGCACTCTGTGGTAAGCACTTTGTGCGCACTGGGTGAGCACTCTGTGGTGAGCACTTTGTGCGCACCGGGTAAACCTTCCCTATGTAATAGCCTGAATTTTATTATTTGAAATTGCCTATTGAGGGTGAATTCAAAAAGTTTGTTTTCTGATTTTCTTTAGATTTGATTTCTTCGTTCTTAAAAAAGTGGATCTGAAGCAGTGAGATGCTTCTGTTCTCCAGTTTTGTTCTCTCTCTTTGAGTTTTGTGTAATATGTGATTCCTATAAATGACTCTCACCATTACTATACAGTTGTAGAGTGATGCACCTAAGGTGTTTGATAAGGAAATCTTTTGCGAGGCACTATTTGGTTCTTGAACTCTTCACTATTTCAATGTATTTCATGCATTGCAACAAACATGGGGTGGTCTTCTTTTTTGAAACCATAACAACCTTGAACCAATTACCTGATCGAGAAAAAAATCATTGGCGGATTTGAGAGGAGCTGACTCGATGAACAGGAAAACTACTATCAATTGATAGGAATCATCATGCATCATCAATAAACCATGGTAAACATCAAAATGTGCATATGTCAAGACGCACTAGGCTATTCTGGAAAAGGTCTATTATTGAGCTCAATTCATGATTGATACACATAGGTGATCATTCTTCTGAATGTGGCAATGATACTGGTCATGGCTGTTTAACTGCTGCACAAAGCGTTACAATTTATTTTTAAGTTATTGTAGCTGCATATAATGAATATGGTATCAAAGTCAATTGTTTCACGGGTTGGGCACTTGGGCATGTCACACAACAAAATGATGAAGGAATTTGCATTGGAGGTTTGAGAAGAATGCGCAAGTCGATATTATTCTTTCTTTCTTTCTTTTTTCCTGGTATTTGTTTCTTCTTTTCATTTTTGTTTTGGTACTGCTTCATGTTTGTGTGGAATATTTTGTAACTGTGAACAAACTATTCCTTTCTTCAAAGTTATGTGAAATATGTCTTGAATCATCAGATCCACACTCCAAAGAAGAAAGTGAAGAAGGAAAAAGAAAATTTGCTAACCTGCCAAACCATATATAATGACTCATTGTAAACTTCTGTTATGTTCTTTTCTATGTGTCTATGTGATCTTTGGTGACATTTAGGGAAAACATGATTACTATAAGAGCACAGACCAACTCATATGTTGTTGGTTAGTCTTATTGAGCAAGAAATTCGTTTATACCTATTTCTACTCTCAAGTTGTACTCCACATTCTTTAGTATAATCATGTTTATTAGATGTGGGTATATTTTTCACCATACATTTATGTTTATATATCTATCAGTTTCTTGCTTGGAATTAAAGTTTAGTTGATGTTATAGTATAAAAAAAAGTATAGGGAGATTTAAGAAATCATGCTAAATATATAGAGTAGTAAATAGTTACAACAATATCATGGTTCAACTTTCTGTACTACAGAAGTATGTGATTGGCTTAACCAGTATTGTCAAAGGCGAAAAGCTCTAGAAAGCGTTCCATGTGTATTGGGGCTTTAAGCGCAAAGCGCAATTTAAGTGTGGGTTTTAGTAAAAAAAGGTGGAATGAAGGAAAAAAATAAAAATATATATGTAATTTAGGGAAAAAGTAACAAGTTAATTCATTCATATTGTTTTTCTTAATAACTAATACACTTATTTGTCAATTATATTTGTTGTTTTGTACCGTTCGATTCAAAATAGAATTCATGCGCAATGAGTGTTCATGCCTTAGTACCTTGCATACACTAAAGCACAGCTTAAGCGAGGGGAAGCACCCTCCGTGAGCTTTTTTGAGTTTCAGAGCGTGCTCCTTTGACAACACTAGGCTTAACCACAACATCTTGGTGGTAAATTGAATTCAGAGTTTATTTGTACCGCAGAGTTATGCGATTTCATTGTGTTTTACTACCTTTTGGATAATTAGTGTTAGAATATTATTATTAATCTTTATATTATGTGATGTATGAATTCATGTTCATTTTGCGGTATCGTGTCAATTGTCAATAGCTTCTCCTAAAATGCGAAGTCTACCTTTTGATCTATATAATGAATGACCTCCATCTTCTCTTGGAAGGTAACATCTCTATAGGCAATAACTCTTATTTCATTGAGTTTTTTTTGTGGCACAGAAGAAATTAAAAAAAGAAGAGATATTGTCAGTACTTCCCTTAATAATAATGTTGTTAATAACAAAACTTTCAATACAGTTACCTTGGTCTTGAAGATTTCAGGAGCATTCTCCTAGAGTTGAGACCTCTCAAGCAAGTCAAACTTTTTAATTATTTTTTGGCGTAATGTGCTTTCTAGCATTTTGATTTATTGCTGGTGCCTTTAATTCCCACATAATAGATGCAGATGGACCTTTTAAGTGAGTTTTGAAATGGGTTGTTGTTGGATAGATTGTCTTTCCAGAGCATCAAATTTATTTTGTTTTAGCGTGATGTGCTTGCTACCTTTCTTTTTGTGGTTTAAGTTGCTGTACATTGATTGGCAGATATGGAACACGTATCTCTTCATTCACTTTAATGTGGCTTGGCAGACNAAATGGGTTATTGTTGGATAGATTGTCTTTCCAGAGCATCAAATTTATTTTGTTTTAGCGTGATGTGATTGCTACCTTTCTTTTTGTGGTTTAAGTTACTGTACATTGATTGGCAGATATGAAACATGTATCTCTTCATTCACTTCAATGTGCCTTGGCAGACATGGTATGTGTTCCTAAACTGCTATGGAGTTCATTGGGTGATACCGAGGTTGGAGCAACTATTATATTGTTGCTATGGACAGAAAACAATGAAAACGGTGCAGACAAGTGTGCATTTTATGGACTGACTATCTGGGTAGAAAGGAATAGTAGGATCCTTGAGGAGGCTAAGGAGCGTACATCTTAATGTTAAATTTACATGCATTCAAAAATTGTATTGTTGGAGCAAAAGAATATAACTTCTAATATTTACAGATAACCCAGAACTTATGGATTTCTTCCTTGCAGGGTTAGGAGTATATCATGTACACGAGAATCTTTGTACTGTTTAATACCTCCTCGATACTATTTTATTGAATAGGATTTACCTTTCAAAAGAATTACCAACTAAATAGTTAAGGAATGATCCTTTAAAATCAGTTCTAAGGCGGATGATTTGACGGGCATCATCAAATTGGGCCCGTGCTGTACACGGCAGGCTCTTACTAGTATGCTTAGATATAGCAGTGAGTATGTCATCATTCCAGAGCAACAACAAACATCTGTACGATACGAACATCTGCAATTGGTAAAAGTGATCTTCCCGAACAGCATGTCCTCATAATACAAGGATAAACGTGTAGCAACACAAATTTACAATATTTCATCCCCTCCTCCCTCCTATAATTCATAAGTGAGCAAACCATTGAAATTTAAATTGATCACTCCGATGTTATCTAAAAACTTAAGCAGTTAAAGTCTTAAAGAGAATGTACTTTTATTTACTTAATTGTAATTTCAACACGTACCTTCACATGTGGGTCTGAATCTTTTTCATGAGCAAATTACAAGGTTTTATCTATTTAGTTATTATATATGAGAAAAATGACATTGTATAGATGCTTTCAAAATAATAGCCCAAAAAATATTTTTCTTTTGTATATATATACATTCTGTATGTTATTTAAAAAATTTATACAAATTTTATATATTTTTTCGGCTACCGAATATAAATAATTTCTGGTGCGGGCTAAAAATAATAATACCCCTTATATATTTTGGATTATATTAGTATTTAAGCTTTTGTTTATTTTCATATCATGTTAATAAGATAAGGTTCGCTCGATGAGGTAGTTGCCGCGTGCCGGTTTCAGGATCCCATCGTGATACAAAGTATCACAACAGTTAGTTCTAAGAGCAAATAAAGTAGTAATATGTATGTACTTGGATATGGAAAAAGATCGTGTGTAACTTCTCTTTTTTCCGTATTTTTTATTTGCATAACCACATGCAAAACTACTTAAAAAATCCGAGATGCTTAACAATTTTTCCAATATTATCTTTTATTTTCTAGAAAAAAGTTTATGCTCAAGAAATTTAAAGATATTTTTTTTCGAATATTATCTTCTTTCTTTTTTTTTTTTTGTAGAGATCAAGAAATTTAAAGGAGACAATTGATACACAATGGCACCTCTAAGATGCACGATAACACCTCTACTATTGAGTTACCATTCAACTTTAACGATAAGATTTTTCCAAGCGTTTTTCAAAAATGATGAAGCGAAAGAAATAGTACTAAAAGAACAAACTGCATAACTTATTTCATTCATTAAGATTAATGCTCCATATTAAAAATTAGTAGACACTGCACATACATATGTGATAGAAAATAAACGACGAATATTTGGACATCTAACATCTTAGTCGTCATTTATTCACTCAAAGTAGGTATATGAAAAGCAAGATAAACACATGTAGAAATACAATTTTATTTGTCTGTGTGAACGCGGAATACTTTGTGTATCGAGCTGCGTTTTTTTTTTATTCAAGCAGATTTTCACCTCCCGCGATAAATGCAGTTGGAATCACTTGAGCATACTTTGAGGAATCTAGATGATGGAGGCATTGCATATATTTCTCCCCTAAGGCAGGAATTGCGCATGTCTTGCAAAACCAACCGTCAGAGCAATCACTATTCTGATTGCAAGGTCTCTTACAAGTTAGCCAACCATCATCTTTTAGTAGTTTTCTTTCAACCATTTCCATATCTAAGGATAAGTTTCTCAATGCTGTCACTTTCATCTTAGGGGAGCTGATCATGAATGGATTAACTGCATATTAATTCAATCAAAATTGAGTTAAACACTAATATAAAATGATATATATATACACACACTCAGAGGCTGAGCTAGAATTTCAACTTTATGGGATCTGAATTTTAGAGCGACGACTTCAGGTGCTAATGACTGGGTTCTAAATTTAATATTTATACATATTTGATGAATTTTTTAATACAAAATACATTATTTGAGCAAGAGTTGTCGGGTTCAGCCAAATCTTTTGCTCGGCTTCTGCCTCCGCCCCTGCACACACTCAGAGGCGAAGCCAAAATTTCAAATTTATGTGTTCAAGATTTTAGAGCGGCGACTTCAAGTGATAATAACTGCGTTCTAAATTAAATATTTTTACATATTTAATAAATTTTTTAACACAAATATACTGTTTGAGCAAAAGTTATTGAGTTCGGCTGAACCGTATTCTTCTAGCTCCTTCCCTGCGCAAGGGCTCCATCTGGTCTTGTTTGACTTAACATGGGATAAACTAAAAATGAAATTGTGCCATATAAATTTGGACAGAGAGAGTATATATATACAAAGAGATACAGAGCTAGGAAGAGGGGAATGCAACTACTAACCAACAATCGCCAAGAGGATTGCAGCAAAAAAGAAAGCAAATTTGATTCCAGCCATTGACAATGCTTTGTTTGTAGTTCTTTGCTCAACTAATTATCAGGGGCATATTTATAGCCGTTAGTGAAGGTCTAGTGCCAATTTTGTGAGCTCCTTTTACTTTCAAAAAATGAAGTGTTGTGTATCTCTCGTGCATGTGTTTTTAATCTCCTATCGTTTCGTTTTACATATGAATCAATGCACTTGGTCTATATATTGCAAACAAATACATAATTTAAAAACTTTATTTTCACGTACAATCAAATCTCTTTATAACAGTTATCCCTTATAACAACATTATAATGATCTAGTTTTCTTTGGAACCAATATTTTTATGTTATGTTATGATATATGTTTTTTATAATAGCGCATCACTATAACAACTAAAATATTTCAGTACAAATAAATTTATTATAAAGAGGTTTAACCGTAATATTTTTGGCTGAAGATTATTAAGGGAGCAGAAAACATCTTTATATCATCTAAAGCCACTTTATAAATTGTAGTGTCTCGCAATAATCGTCCCAAAATTATATATATAAAATAAAACATCTTTATCTCATGAAAATGTTGAACTCAAGTCTCAACTAACCTTAATGTGAAAATAATTGCTTCATAATTTATCTTTTTTTCTACCTCTTCAAGGGTTGTTCATAAACTTTTTTAAATAAGTAAACGACAAGTGGCATGTTTTCAATGACTATTGGCTCTCTCAATCATTAAAATGTCCACGTCAAGAATGTTGTTTCTATGTGGGAAATTTCAACTACGTACTTTTATATGAGAGTAAGTGTCCAATTTTATTTTTTAAATCACCTTTTTAGGATTTTCACGCACTCTTTAAGAGTATTCAATGAACCCATTAATATGTCATGCCCCATTAGAAAAATGACAAGCGGGATCGATATTTTTAAATAAGAATTGGCTGATAGAACCAAGTAAAATGCACACGTCAAAGATCTTTCTTAAACATGTTAAACAGGTGAAACATGTATATAAATATATAAGTACATTTACGTGTATATATATAAGTATATGCATGTTTGATGGATGAATGATGTATATTAACACTTAATAGGGATTGAGCTAGTGTATTAGGTACCGGTTCGGATGAACCCCTTTGCTTAAAACTCATATATTTGTACAGTCGCGGATCCAGGATTTTAAGGTCGTGGGTACTTATTTTCTTTAACATAAATTTGCTAGCAATTACTATATAGTATAAGTGCACAACTATTCGAACGCGACAGTGTAAAAAGTTAATGAGAAAACACCCGTTAATATTATTACTACCAAAACAGTCTTCTAATCATAAGTCACAATGAACTTTGTACAAAGCATAAGCGGTAAGCATGGAAAACAAAAATCCAAAATCCCTCCACTAAATGTTTTCAATCTCTAGCTTTAACAAAAATATAATCTTATTACTACCTGTTATGTCTACTTTCTTTTTTCTTTTCGTTGGAAGCGCATTTTCTTTCTTTGTATGAGAGCCAAAAATCCAAGAAGCGAAGAAGGGTTTGGTCGTTTGGTGTCTAATAGAAGCTAAATTTATCCTTAAACTAATGAATGAGATAAAGCCTAAAGGAATAGGAAAAATGACAAAAGAAATCTAAGTGAAAAGGCCAAAGTATTAAAAAGAATGAAAGATATGGTATAGAAGATTGAGAGAGTCAGCCTCAAGAAGTTAGCAGGCATTGCGAAAAGATGTTTCAATTGGGAATCGAACTCGTGTGGCTTAAAAACACACTCCTATCTCCAGCTTTGAACCAAAGCACCCTTGAACCTTTTTAGTTTGTGGGTGCTTACTAATGCAATATAGTACTTTCCTATTGTTTACCCAGAAAATTCGAGTAACAATTAAACTTATATTGTGGTTTTAAAGATATGTGATTTAAACCAGTACCAATCGATAAATAACGGATTAAATAGATAAATTGGACAAAAATAAATCTAACCAGTCTGCAAACAATGCCTCGACCTCGGTTCGAGATAGTTTCGAGGTTTAGTTAATAAGAACAGTAGAGGATGGAACAAGCAGTGATGAACAGTAAATAAGACAAAGAAAGCAGCGTATATGTATATTCTTATCAGTGAATCCTACTTACAAATTATTGGAACTCCTCTTTATATTGTAGAGGAAACCTAATTATGGTATGTCTCTAATTACAGAAGAAAAATCGTATAAACAGCTAGTTTAACCGCTTCTAATTTGGCATGTTCCGAGATTCATGCCATGATCCTCGACCAGTCTCGGATATCCGTTCCGAGATTCACGTCGTGATCTTCGACTGGTTACTGATATCTCTTCATTCCATTATTATGCTGTCCTCGAAGTCAGTCATACTTGGTCTCGATTGTTGCTGGCCTCAGTCTTAACGTACACTTCGATCTCTATGCTTGATGTTTCATCTTCGAGCTCGGGTCTGATTTATTACGAGGCTACCCCCGATGTAACTCCCTTATCTCGATCAAACAGCAAAATCGGGTAGGCCTGATTTTGACCGTATACAGATAGTCCCCTCGTTTCTTGGAACGTAACGAGAAAAAACGAACTGAGCCTTCGATTTAGTACCTCGACCAATTATGACGTCAACATCATGACGTAAGCGACAGAAGCGATTGAAGCGTCTCGTCTGCACAGTTTCCAAGATCATTAATTAACGTCAGTTAATGATCGGCCACTAGTGCTTTCAAACCGTCAAAGTGGCTATTATAAATAGACCACCTTCATAATCCTCTTAAACTTTACTTTCAAACTTCTTCTAATCCTCAAAAAACTCTTGTATTCTCTTCAATTCATCAACTTTGCCGGTTTTCGTTTGCCAATCTCTAAAGAACAAATTTCGCCTTCTTCTTTCTTAAACCTCATATAACAATGGCAAAAACATCAAAATCCATTCCTCAAGAAGAAAAAGCCTCCTCGTCGCGGTCGGCCGGTGGAAAAACACCGGTGGAGCCACATATTGAAGAGTGCATCCTCGGGCCATGTAAACTTACTTCCGACTTTAAAGCCGAAAAACCCTCTTCGGTTCTTAGCTGATGCGAGCCCATGTCTAGATATATCTGTTCGATATCCAAAGGCGATCTCGAGAAGGTGAAAAGGGATTACTGCTGGGAGAATAAAAAGGTGGTGATTCCTACCCCCGAAGAGGACATTACCACTCATGTGAAAGGGTTTTTAAGTATGTATACTTACCCTTTCACACTGGGTTATGTCGATCTCGTCATAATCGACTTCTGCCGCCAATACCGGGTAACCCTAGGCTAGATCTACCCCTCTTTTCTGCGTATTATCATTTTGCTCAGATTCTTCTCGAGCAAGATCGAGGGGATGTCTTTCACACTCGATCATCTCATTAGGATATACAACCCTGTATTTATCGGGGCAGACTTATAAGGCTTCAGCGTCGGGCCACGAAGGTGCTATTCTCGAGCATAGACGAGGACAAGGACCGAGGATGGATGTATCAGTTTGTCCGAGTCAGGACCTCCAATTTAATCCCCACCGAGAAGATGCCATTCCCCGAAGAATGGAATATGAAGCGTAAGTAGAACTTCACCGATAACGTTTGATTATCTGTTATGTTTGTTTTATCTCTTCTCATCTATATTCTTCTTCATGGTGCAGCTTCCTCCTAGTTTCCTGGTGCAGTCCCGGACCTTGCAGGTTGGGTTCGATAACTGGTTTCAACCTCCTTGTATGCTGAGTGCTCGTGGCACGATTTGGCCAAGGGTCGATGGAAGGACAAAAATCACGGTAAGTTCCCCTGTACGTGTTTGATGATTTCCTGCGAAATACTTCTCTTTAACTTGATTTCTTCTTATACAGGTCTTTTAGATAACGTTGTTATGAGGCCGCCTCCCCTCGGGGAAGAGGAGGCCCCGAAACTGACCAAAGACAAGAAAAGGAGAAGGGCCTCGACTCCAAATACCCCTAAGCCCAAGAAAAGCAGGGCTCAAAAGTCTAAGACTGATCCCTCCGTTCTGTCTGCCGATGTATCCCAAACGCTACGAGATGAGAATGAGGAGGGAGAAGATGTCGACTGCCTACTGGTGACTCGGAAGAGGGAAAGCATCGAAGCTTCGATAACTGCTGAGCCGGTGACGGTCGAGGAGGTTCAGTCGTAGATCGAGGTAATCTCGGTGAAAGGTCCTAACAGAGTCCCCGAGTCATCGGCGGGTGTGCCCGAAGGGTCTAGTTCTGAGGCTCTTCAAAGAGAAGAGAATGCCCCGAGTGACTCTCTCGGGGCAATTAATATCGATGATTCGCCGCCCGGTCCTACGTTCTCCGAGGGGAAATTTTGGGATGCCCGATCTATGGGAACCCCCGAAGTGGGGACGGCCCCCGAAGGGGACGATGATGTTTCCGACCTTGATGCATCACTCATTTTTATTGAGGCTCAGCGGCTTCTGAACCAAGTGAGTTTTAGCCCATGCTATCATGCTTGCGTTTGTTCTTATTTCTCTAAGTCTGATTTCCTTTCTTTCTATATAGGCTACAGTGCTCCATCGAGAAGCGTCTTCCAAGTATCGAGCTGAGCTGACCCGATGTGAGGTTGATCTCAAAAAGCTTACGGAGGAGAGAAACGCCCTCAAACTCCTCTATGTGCAAAAAGAAGAGGAGATCATGAGCATTCGAGCTGAGCTGACAAGAGCTCATCGAGATCAGACCGAGCTCATTGAACGGGTAATGTAAATTTTTGGGAGCTTGTTATGTAATGACTTATTATTGGCAATTAACACTTTGATCCTGCAGGTTCAGCAGAAGGACAAATTGGTTGAGCAGCTTCGTGAGGAGGCCAAGATGAAAGAGGCAGAGACTTTGGGGTGGAAGCAGAACATGGATCGTCTCACCTCGGAGAAAGAAACGGTTCGGGCCCAACTGTCTTCAGTTGAGCGTCAACTCCAAAGTGTGAAGGAGGAGAACTTGCCTCGAGCCCAGAAGTTTAAAGAGCTCTAGATTCGGTTGGCTGCTGAGCTTGCAAGGGCCACATCCGAGGCAGAGTTGCTCATGGCCTCCTACCGAGCTGATGCCGAAGCCGCTACCACTCGGGCAAAGGACATTTCTGATGCTGCTGAGGTTAGATTGTCCCATGTTGCCGAGCATGCTAAGCGCTAGTCTCGAAGAGAAACTCTTGAGGAGGT